TCGTCGTCGTCGTCGTCGTCGTCGTCGTACGTACGTCGTCGTCGTGTGTGTGTGTGTGTGTGTGTGTGTGTGTGTGTGTGTGTGTGTGTGTGTGTGTGTGTGTGTGTGTGTGTGTGTGTGTGTGTGTGTGTGTGTGTGTGTGTGTGTGTGTGTGTGTGTGTGTGTGTGTGTGTGTGTGTGTGTTACCAGCAGTAAGGCCTGCTCTTGCAGGAGCTGCTGCTGCAGGATCTCCAGCTGCCTCTGTTCTTCCTCCAGCTGCCTACGGATATACTCCTAACCAATCAGCGGCCGTGAGCAGAGAGTAACGCAGCCAATCAGAGAGCACCGAGGCAGACAGGAAGCAAATCGGAGCCCAGGCAACCAGTGACATCAGCAGAGAAGGAAACAGGAGGAGAAGAAGAAGAAGAAGAAGAAGAAGAAGAAAAAGAAGAAGAAGAAGAAAGAGGAGGAAAGTAGATTTATTGAGGAGGTGTGAAAGTAGGGATTTAGGGATAAAGAGAGAAGCAGCAGGGGGTGTAATTAGTGGAGAAGAGACATGCGTACGGTTAAAGATCAGCATGAAATCCTGAAAACTATGCCTGAAAAGGTAGAGCGTAAAGGGAGCGTTGTACTGCAGGAGAAGTTCATTATTAGTCATGCAGTCTTTAGAAAAGCTTCCCCTCTTTTACTGGAACATTTGAAATCTTCCTCCATTTCGTTCTCTTTAATTATAAGATCGAATGTTGATCTATACGTTTTCAAATTGATTGAGAAAACTTGACTCTACCCAAAACAGTATTTTTGTTTTGGTAATCAATAAATGGCAATAGTTTTCCAAAGTAAAAGAAATATTGATCGACTGAGAAGTTATAGATATTAGCCATATGGAATATATCTGTGTAATGGTTATAATTTAATACAAATAAATATGTTTTTAAATGTTTGCTTTGTTAATTTGATGGTTTAAAAAAGGCACTACATTCAGCGTTTTAACCCATTGACACCGTTATTAATGGACGATGAGCTACTGATAAAATGTTAAATGGATAAATGACTGCTTGTAACACAGACCAAAAACCAAGCAAGCACTAAAGTTATCACACAGTGGAAGTTTTGTACAAAAGACATTAAGTTACCACCGGTCTAAGGTTTTTCTTCTTAATAACCAGAGTTATTAGAAAGGAGTGAGACATTTATTCTCATAGATTGAACCCCTTAAATCTGATTATCTTTGACCTTAATGTACCTTGGAAAATTCCCTTAAGGTCTCAATAAAATAGATGAATAACTTTTTCGGGTTATTATTACTGAAAGTAAAAAAACGAATGTTTACAAAAGAGGAACTCTGCCTCCATTGCTCTTATTCTTAACCTAATCAGCTTTCTCCACTCAATGGATAAAATAACGTTGCTCTCCGAATCCAAAAGGAGAAGGGGAATACATTTTGGGAAAAAAAGGATTGCTATAAACGTCTAGGATCTTAACAATCTCTTATTTTTATTGTTGGACATCTTTTATATACATTGAGCACTGTATCTGTCTTTTTATTTGTATTTTCTTATTCGCTGGTTTGACTGTATTGTCCAGTCCTCACTTGTTCTATTTTAAAAAACAAACAAAAGTATAAACAAAAAAAGGAAAAGAAAGAAGAATTTGAAGTTGGGTAAAAGCGAGAAGTAGAGTTGAGAAGCCCCGCCTCTCCGGATGACACCTGTGATGTAACCTCTGTGTATGTGTGTGTGTGGTCTGTGTGTGTGCGTGTGTGTGTGTTTGTGTCCCCACCTGCTCTCTCTCTGAGTGCCTCCTCTCCTCCTCTCTCCGGAGCAGCTCCATCTCCTCGTACCTCCTCCTCTGCTCGCGCTCCTGCTGCTTCCTCATGTCCCGCTCCCTACGCTGTTGCTGCAGGTGGAGAAGAGTGTGTGAGTGTGTGTCTGTGTTTGTGTGAGCATATCAGGTGTGTTTCTCTGGCATTTGGATATGCTGAGGTGCTAACATCACAGGTGTGGAGGTTTCTCATGGAAACGAGTCATTTAATAATCAAACTGAGATGTTTTTCAAAAGTGAAAACATCCTCAGCCTTGAGCAGTGAGGCCTTTTTTGCACATTATGGAGTTGTCACCATAAACCAATAATATATGCTCATGCAGGTGACTATGTACGGTAGAACTGCACTATTATGAGGCTTATCTCATTCAAGTTGTGTTTCTCCAAGTAATGTTGGTTTCATATAACAGTTAGAGAAATATTATTGTCTTCTGATTCTCTTATCTCAAACCACTACAAGACTTTTATTGCGAAAGATATATAGGAAGTTGGATCTCTTCTACGGAGAGCACCAATGGACGTTACCTCCTCCAGCCGCCGCCTTTGCTCCTTCTGCTCCTCGATGCGTTTCTGCCTCTCGGCCAACAGTTGACGCTTGTGCTCCTCGTTCTGCTGCTGCTCCTGCTGCTGCCGCCGGATCAGCTCCGAGCGCTCCTTGTTGGCGAGCTGCAGGCGCAGGAAGTCCCGCCGCAGCGTGGACTCGCCAGGGATGTTGATGATGGAACTGCAGGAGGAGGGAGTGTTCCATTACATTTGAATGCAAACTTTTATTAAAGATCAAATCAAATATTTCAGCATTTTTTTATTTATTTATATCATTTTAAAAACAAGGTCAAGTTAGACTTATGCTGTTGGGCATTTAGTTTGTATATGTGATATTTGACAGCGCTAATTGGTTAATATGGCATTTTTTACGCAGTGCCACCGTGTTTTAAGTTATATTGTTTATATTTGGGTTATGTAATCCACCAGTTTAGTTAAATTGATTTTCTCAGTATCAGTATATTTAAAATAATGCATTTAATAATGTATTTGAACATAAGTTCATAATTTCTTTAATACATAATTGGCAATGATTTTAAATGTAATAACTAATCATTTTTATTTTGAATTTGAGTTTTAAATACAGAAATAATTGTTTTTATAGGGAATGAAATATTCTCTGTTCTCTGTCCTCAAGCAGACATTAGAAAAAGCCCATACCCAAATAACTTGATAGTAGTAGAACAAGAGGTAGGACTAGTACTTTGAGGAGTAGTGTTACTTAGTGTTAGTACCTAGGCTCTCCGACGTCCCTCTCTTCATCCTCCTCTTCACTCCCACTGTACTCGTACTCTGTCTCATCTGCAGGAAAAACACACAGTTCAGGTTAACATGCTCGTGTCCTGCAGCAGCAGTGAGGGTGAGACAGTGGGGTGAGTGCAGCCTCCTCACCTCTCTCCCCCCTCCTCTTCTTGGTGCGGTCGATGTGGTCCTTCAGCTGGATGCGGACCTGCCTCTCGTTGGGCAGCTCTCGGATGAACGGGTGTTTGAGCAGCTGCTCCGTGCTTGGCCTCTGACTGTGGCTCTTTATCAGGCAGCTGTCGATAAAGGACTGGAACTTCTTCGACCTGAACACACATAGAGATTATATCAAATATCAAATCATTTTTTAAATTATTATTATTAATTAACATCATATAAACGGATGGAATAAAATGTTTGATTAGCAGGTCATGTTACTTGTACAGGCAATTAAATCAAATATGTTTTTCAATCAACTGATTGAAGGTGCAATGTGTGTGTGTGTGTGTGTGTGTGTGTGTGTGTGTGTGTGTGTGTGTGTGTGTGTGTGTGTGTGTGTGTGTGTGTGTGTGTGTGTGTGTGTGTGTGTGTGTGTGTGTGTGTGTGTGTGTGTGTGTGTGTGTGTGTGTGTGTGTGAGAGCGCTATCTCCCTCTCAAGACTTGAATTTATCTTGAACGTATTCTTTAACTGAATTGACAGTTGGCGCCACTAAAACCTGAACATCTGTTTTACTCGCTCGGCCAAGACACCAGCTGTTGCTCCTCCAAGCTCCTCATGTGAGCAGATGGTGCAGGTGTCATAGGTCTTGGCTTTGCACTTTCAAAAGAACAGGAAAATTGCCAAGGTTGGCTTTGGAAACATTTGTTTTCATTTAGCAAACCAATGTCTGCAGTTGTTAAGTGTCAAGTTGAATCCCATCAGGTCTAACAATGGCAGACGCCTCTTAATCCCACAAAATGAGGTTCTTATCCCGAGACACTTCTCTCGTTCTTAAATGAGACACGCAGTTTAGGCAAGGTCTGTTCGCTCTTGTTAGGCTTCAGCTGTTTATTGACCATCTCTGCAACTTAAAGCCTCAGCTCCTGCCTCCTGCCCCTAGCCTGTTGATGGGAGACCATTATTCACTCAGCCAATCAATGGCTCTGAAAGCGACCCGTAACCTGTACATCTTCCAGCATGTGACCATTTGACAGATGGAGTAGTTAAAAGATCAGTGGGATATTGTGTTTCTCTGCAGAATGTTGCAGAAAGTAACTTTTTCCTTTTAACACCCTCTCTCCAATTCCCTTCAAGGTTTATGGCCGCTCCGCTCCGAGGCAGGCAAAGAGACAGATGACATGCTGGTGCTGTCTTTCGTTGGTCAGACGCGGTGAGTGTTTGCCGCGCAGCAATACAAGATAAGCGGAGAGTCAATTCCGACTGTCTTTATCTTATCTTTAGAGTGTGTTTTCCCCCAGAGTGTTGATGCTGAGCGGCGAGGAAGTCGAGGAGACAGAACTTCCCGGCTTTGTGGACAACCAGCAGACATTTTTCTGCGGCAACGTGGCACATCAACAACTCATTCAAGTTAGTACACACACACGCTGTGTTATACATAACGTATGTGTGCTGTGTGTGTGTTTAAAAACATGCTTTAGTTAGTCTAATGTTGACCCTCATTTGATTAACACACTTGCAGTACTTCCACATCCTACTTCAAAGCAGACATCTCATCTGATGTCAAATGTTCTAAATAAATTATAGAAAAAGAACTTATTCAACTGTGGCCTTTCTCCATTTAGTAAGAGCTGTTGCTGAATCATACATGATTCAAAGGGGAGTTGTGAATATGATTGGCAGAGAGACTTCATGTATTTTACACTTGGTTGAGATGAATATTGCACTTGATTTAAATTCAGGTTTTAGTCTGCCTTTTTTAAATGAGCATGTAACCTGCTGGGCGGTTGTTATGACAACGATGCCTCTGCTTTAAGGCAAGACCATTTTTCTCTCCTGCTTCTCAGAGTTGGTATACTTACAGAAAATAAATGTTACGCTAATGTGACTGAATATGCAAGATCATTTTCAGTAATGTATGGTAGGCAAGTTGAACTATATTGTCAAGTGGTTTCAGAATACAATGACATGCTTTTGCACAGTAGCACTCTGCCTTATACAAAGGGTTCACATACTCAGAAAGAATTAAAAACATTAAACCCAATATGCAGTAAGACCTTTCAGCAAGGTTTAAATTGTTTTTGCATGTTCACAAGCAACCTGATGGCTTGAAGAAAGAACGTGTTAATGAGGCGTGTGGCATGCAATTTGATGCTCCAGTAATGTATTTTTAGACTTTCACTTAAGCCACCTGATGTGGAGTTAGAATGTTACTTTGGCTTTCACTGGATTTGTGCACAAAATACATTGGGGTAGACAGTGTTGGGCATTGAATTGGCACAATGGAACATGCCTTTTAATTTACCCATTGAAACAAGCCTTTTAATTTACCCATTGAAACAAGCAATTTGATTGGCTTATTGGAGCAGAAAATGTTATCCTTGCAATAAATCATAATTTCTTTCCATTCATTGAAAAACAGGCAATAACAATCCTGGCAAAGAACCACATATAAACAATGAGACTTGCTTTGAAAAGTCGTCACATTTCCATTCCAGCACTTCACATCATCCTTCCTGTCACTTCCCAGAGGTATTGTGCAGAGTGACATTTTAAAAGGGGTAAAAACTGTGTGCCTGCAGATCACATCAGGCTCAGTGCGCCTGGTGCTCCAGGAGAGCAAGGCATTAGTGAGCGAATGGAAGGAGCCACAGGGCAGGAACATCAGCGTGGCTGCCTGCAACCACACCCAGGTGGTGCTTGCCGTGGGAAGAGCCCTCTACTACCTGCAGATCCTGGCTGGAGAGCTCAAACAGATCAGGTAGGACACAGCTGATCGTGGTCAAGCTATAAGCCAGGGGTGTCCAAACTTTTCACTGAGGGCCACATACAGAAAAATATACGAAGGTATGGGCCACTTACTAGAGGTGAGGTATATGACCTCATAAGTTCAGTTATAACTTAGCAAAATCAATCAAATGTAGGTCAATTATGCTTGATACTTAAAAGTGCTTTAAGAAAAAAACAGCTGTCCATTTATTTTGTTACAAAAAGTGTTCATCTCATCCCTTAAAACGGAAGCCTCAGATTGCTTATAGTAAGTTAGGCAAATAACTTATTGGGCTTTTTTCTTATCAACTTAGATTTGTTAGAAAATGTTTCCAACTTTAATTGACTGCATTTATTTGAAAAGTGGACTTATTAACACATGAATACTACTGTGTAATATATTTTTACATATATATTGAAGAAGTACAATATAAGACAAGCACAAGTTTCCTTTGTGGGACATACTCCATTATACTTTTTGAATTTGCTGAGGGCCGATTCCAAATGGCCCGTGTTTGGCCCGCGGGCCTTAGTTTGGACACCCCTGATATAAACAGACGTTCGCTGTATCTTAATTCAGGAAGTCTGGAGATCTCCTGGTTTGACCTTCCAAAAGGAGATTAACATTATGTGTGCTTAAAAGGAATCGTTTAACATTTTGGGAGAGAAGCTTATTAACCTTCTTGGGGAGAGTTGGATGAAAAGATTGATAGCAGCCATTCACCGTATATTGCCTACATATTTACCGTATAGACATGAGAGTGGTATCAAGCTTCCTATCTAAATCATGAGAGGGGGAACAACTAAGCCTATTACTCAAAATGTCAAACCGTTTGTATAAACCCCACCCCGTCTATCCGTGGGTTTGATGGTGAGAGGCCTAAAAACTGGGTCAGCATTCAAATTCAGAAAAGCTTTAAGAGTAATCAAAAAATGTCTGACCTCATCCCTTCATAGCTTTGATCTTCATAAACATGCCCTTAGTTAGTCAAGTAACTTTGATTTTAGCTTACAAAGTTGACTGCAGAGACTTCAATATTACAAAATGAGTTTTACTAATAAAGTTTAATTGAAAAGTAAAACACAACACCCAACAGAGCTTTTGTTTGAAAGGTAAATTAATCAAACATTTATTTTCTCTTTTCCCAAAAAGTAAACCGTTTTTTCTTTAACTAGGTTACATGTTATTATTTTCCTGCACCAACTAACCTTCTTTTTGTAATTCTTCTTTTCGTATCTGTGGAAAAGTTTGAGTTGAGGGATTTGCATCTCATTTTTAAAGCCTGAATGATGCAGTAGAATTGTAAAGTCTTGCATTTGATTGTATTTCTTTCACGTTGCTGCTGTGGTCTACCCTTGTGGCTGGCTTCGTGCCACTATTGCAATATAACAGCTCTGAGACAATATTTATTTTTACAGTCTTTTTGAAAAAGTGTAGGGTACACAAAATGATTTTCTTTCTTGAGAAAGACACACAGCTTGTAAAAAAAAAAGGCCACAAGGTCTGATTGAAGCACAGACTGTTTGTTTGCAGCCTTGAGATTGTTTGTTACTGATGAAACAACAAAAGAGACACTTCAGTGTTCCTCACCAGAGCTGTGAAATAATGTGTGGCCTACATCTACTACATCAATGCTGTATGAGTTGCAAAATTCTGTAAATGCTAGGTAGCAATAGATAGATAAAAGGTGTTGACATGGTTGAAATACTCTTCTGTAATGCAATTAGAGCGCAAGTGCTCCACACACCATACAGTGATTATCCTTCCATTATATTTGCCTCATTAAGTAGCTTCTTCCTTTTACAATGCAGGCTATTTCTTACTCTATTCATGCTCATTTTCATAATAGTTTAACCTCTCTTCATGACACAAATTAATGGTTGTTTCACTGAAGCAGTTCTCAATTCCTATTTCACATAAGAATAGAAAACGTGACAGCTCAGTGTCACCAACACATGTATGATGTGTGAAACTTCGTCGTACACCATCATGCGACTGTTTTTCTCACTTCCTCAACACTTTCCTCAGTACCATGGAGATGGAGCACGAGGTGGCCTGCCTGGACATCACGCCTCTGGGGGAGGGTGGCGGTGAGTCGCCGCTCTGCGCTGTGGGACTGTGGACCGACATCTCAGCCCGGGTCCTCAAACTGCCCTGCTTCACTGCCCTGCACAAGGAAATGCTGGGCGGAGGTGAGAGAACAGAAGGGCACAATGCCACTGAGTGACAAGGGAAGCATTCAGTGACTAGTGGAGAGAGATGTGTAGACGCAGATCATGTATAGTCAAGTGGAGTCTCTTTTTATATAAAGCTCAATAGCACTTAAGATGTCTCAAAAGGGCTTCACAGATACACCAAGCAGTGATTCATAACCCACGTTCTCTCTGAAAGCAATAAAAGATGTTTCACATATCAAGAGGAAATTAAAGAATATATCTAGAGGGGCAAGATGTTTTTGTCACTCGATGCTCATTATCCCTGAACCATCCGCAGTCTGAATGCCGGCCAGGTGACGTTTCATAAAATCTGTGTCAACAGTTTGTATCTCTGTCACATCAGTTACTTAGGTCATGTGCGCTCCTTTCATAAAATAACAGTCAAAAAGGCCAGGAACAAACCTTTTAAATGAGATATTTAGAATAACTTTTCTTTCTAGAGTCCCCATTTTATGTTATTATGCCTCGGCGCTGTCTTGTGAATGTGATATCCCGGAGCTCCTTGACGAAATTCCTTTCAAATAAGCAGAAACCTCTACTTGGATTCAAGGATATAAGGATACATATTTGACAATCAATGATCAAAGGTCACTGTGGCTTTACAAAACACGTTTTTGGCCATAACACAACAATTCTTACGCTAAATATGATGTAATAGGATAAGATCTGTAAGAAATTCACTTTTCACACATGCATCGATGTAAACTGCGGCTTGGCTGGTTGGGGGAGGCATAGAAGTGGTGGACATAAAAGGAAATAATACAGAATAAAGTAAATAAGTGTTATTTACGTTATTGAATCAAGGTAGTAAATACAAATAAATTGGTAATTAAATTACTTTGAACGATTTTTCAAATCATTAGGTTAGCATAAAGACTGTTATTGGGGGGAAACAGCCAGCGTTGGACATTTTAAAAGTTTATAATAAATCTTCTCTTAAGCTCACTTATTATCATGTAAGTGAGGAACAGGTCTTTATCTCCATTTTCATTAATAGATGTAAATTACATCTTCCCAAGTACATACTTCAAAATTAAGTATGCTGCCATCCCAAATGCATTAACTGTGGTATTTAAATGTTTGCAAAATATTTAAACTTAGAATGAGTTAATATGCAGGAGAGGGCTTGACTATGTTTTTTGGATAATCTTATTCAAAAGTCAGCAGTCACCAGAGAATAGGTTTCATAACATGTGGATCCGGCACATTCGGGGGCTCCAATTTTAATGCTTCACCCATGAAGAATATTTCCAGACATTCTCCCACAGTGTCACACTTCATTTTCCAAGTGTGTGAGATTGACAGCTGCTCACTGCACAAACTGTACTTTCTGGCTGTCTCCCCTGTCAAGGACAGACTGAAGGAAAAACTGAATTATAGACAGGAAAACTTCAAATTAAAATCTAAATGTTGAAAAGGAAAGCTTTGTGTTTTGGCGATGGACTTAACACAGTTGTACTCAATTATGTTAACGTTAATTATATAACTTTGGATTTTTACTTCATGGTATTTTTGGTGCTACCATGGAAACATGCAACTTCCCAAGTAGCGACTTTTGCAGACGTTGTTGTTTGGTGGAAAGTCCCCCGAGAAGCATTTAATCACAGCCAATGCAGTTTTGATGTAATTGTCCTGCAGTGAGAAGCTTATGTTGGTAAACGGAAAAGACAAAATACTTTATATTTACCCTGCAGCATTCAAATGTTATTTCTATCCCAAAAGTTACAGGCCAATCTGGCCGACAACCATTATGGATTTTTCTGACAAAGACATTTTAGCAGACATTTATCACATTGTGGTTCATCTGTGAGGCTGTTACTCCAGAGTACAGGAAAAATAAATCACGAGTCTGTGTGTGTCCTCAGAAATCATCCCTCGCTCAATCCTAATGACCACCTTCGAGGGCAGCTACTACCTGCTGTGTGCGCTGGGAGACGGGGCGCTCTTCTACTTTGGCCTGGACCTGCAGACTGGTAGGTTTTCACACCACAACTACAACTGCTCCATGAGAGCTTCTCAAACTTCTCCGGCCGACGAGGGCCTCCAGGCAGAGCCTCCAGGCAGAGCCTCCAGGCAGAGCTGCAGGCAGCGGTCTGAAGACATTTCAAGATTATTATTTTATGAAGAATTGTATAACAGCCAGCATTATATGTGGATGTAATGGTGGAGAAACTGTGCAGCTTGTAGCAAACCTGCAGATTCACACTTCCAGCTGTTACGGAGGGTTGTTTTCATTCATTTTTAGTCGCACTTTTAGCTCTATTTTGGTTGTTCAGTGCCATCAAAATGGAAGCAGCAGCAGCAGCAGCAGCTGACATTCCCTCACTTTTAACCCAAGTATGATGTCAAGCTCCAGAACCACATTATCCTAAGTTATATAAGATATTGCTCAATTGTGCCACTTTGTTACATGCTCCCTGAGTGTTAAATGCTTTCAAACTCCAAACCCCCAGTTTGTGAGAAAGCATTTGCTGTTAAAATGTTTAGTCTCCATGCCTGAGACTGGGTGATGTAACTGAAATTACATCATCTGGCCCTGACACCCAAGTGATGTAATTTCAAGTAATAAAGAACAATACGAGGAAATTAAGAGCCACAAAAACAAAACAGCTTTACAGGTTGTTAAGTGCTAGAGCCCTTACATTACTGCACTATTGAACGGCTGTCTGCTCCAACAAATGGTCCATTTAAAGGACCAGTGTGCTGGGCATATGATGACATTCCCATGCAAAGCCCACATTGTTTGTTTAAATATAAACTGTGAACCTGATTCACATTGTGGGGCTTATACAGGACTGTCTCAGAAAATTAGAATATTGTGATAAAGTTCTTTATCTTCTGTAATATATATATATATATATATATATATATATATATATACAAACATACATACATACACAAGTAGAGATAAGAAGACAACAAGTGCAGAATAACATGACACTATGATATTTCATTTTACTGCTTCAGGCACGGATCGATTCACTCAGCCCCTCTCTGCCTGGGTTTGCAGCAAATTGTCTCCAGTGCATAGATATTTCTATCTATGTGCATCTCTTTTCAGCATTTTCTGTACAAATGTTTTTTTTTTTCTTAAAGCTATACCGCCTGTTGAGGAATTTCAATGTCCGAACCCTAGCTCTAAAAATAAATATGAATTGTATATTCCATTACTGCTAATAGATCCGTCTATTCAACACACTGCTCCTCTAAATAGAAGCATCATGGATGGTTTGGAGACATATTGTTTATTCGACCTTGTGAGGCTACAATGGTTTTTTGAATTAATTGAATATTTGAATCATACCATAAATATTTGAACAATTATTCAATTGCCAGAGAAGTTGCAGATTATTAAAGGTTGTCTGGTCGATTAATCAATCGTCTTATAGCTTCAGTTCTATTGTCAAGGCTCAGAGGACCTCCTGCACAAACTGCCATCAGTAATCAGTAACCTTATCATGTAAACAGGGATAGGAATTTAATAGGGTTTTTTTATGTTCCATCTCCTATTTTTTTAAATTAATTTAATCATCAGGATATTAGTGTGCATATAATTATTCTATATTATTCTACTTTTTGCACCATGGTCAAAGCACAAGGGCATCAGTATTATTAGTTGTACACAAATTAAAAGAAAAACCGTGAATACATTTGTGGAGAAACCTAAAGAAAGCAGATGCTTCCACGCAGGGGTGAAGGGCTAACCAAAAGGTGTTATGAGCATTAAAAAGGAGATAAATATTCTTCACACAAGGACAAACATTACTGGCTGAAGGCGCTTGGCAAGTTATTTAAAAAAAAATTAATTTGTACATCACCTTTTTAACTAGACTTAAAGTTGTGTTTCCATATGATTTCACTCCCGCAGGCGCCCTGAGCGAGCGTAAAAAGGTAACGCTTGGCACCCAGCCCACTGTGCTGAGGACCTTCAGATCCCTGTCCACTTCCAACGTGTTCGCCTGCTCCGACAGACCCACCGTCATCTACTCCTCCAACCACAAGCTGGTGTTCTCCAACGTCAACCTCAAGGAGGTCAACTACATGTGCCCGCTCAACTCTGAGGGCTACCCCGACAGGTCAGCAGCAGAACCTTTACCGCTCGTGGGTTTTATCATCAGCATAGCTGGTTCGGAGGAATTTTCTGTTGACTAGAGAAATGCATACAGTCAAACATTGTTTTGGTTTTTGTAGGCAATGGGTGTATTTTTCTTGTTTTCCCTCTTGTAATGCTGCCTCTTGTTTTCTTCTTCTTTCAGTCTGGCTCTGGCCAACAACAGCACTCTGACCATCGGCACCATCGACGAGATTCAGAAACTCCATATTCGCACCGTTCCCCTCTACGAGTCCCCCAGGTCAGTCCGTTGTACAAATATTTAGTTAACATGAACCCTCAAATAATATTTAGACCCATCATCTTTACAAATATGCTGTGTGTTGTTCATGTTTGCACTGGCTTTGCTTGTTTGCTCTGATTTAGCTGTGTTCTCCTGTTGGTAATGTTTACACATGTGTTTCCTGTTTTTTTTCTCAAACGTTTAAGTGCCAACCGACACTTGAGTTTGTCGAATAAGAACACCTTCTGTTAGCTTACTCTTGTTTGCGCTTTAGGTCTCGCCTTTTGCCTTGCCTCAATCCCCTTGTATCTCTCCACCAGGCGGATCTGTTACCAGGAGGTCTCGCAGTGTTTTGGTGTTTTATCCAGCAGGGTGGAGATTCAGGATGTGAGCGGCACCACATCTGCCGTGCGCCCCAGCGCCAGCACCCAGGTACCCTAGCTCCATGTTATGTTCAGCTAATAAACACCCAAGGGCTTGTTTGTTTTGCATGTGTATCTTACTTGATGTGCTGACTAAGAACATTATTTATAAGGTGAGACTGGGAGCTTGTCAACACAACAAATGTCTTGTTACTTATCTTCTACAGGAGAAAGATTTGCTCTACCAGCATTTCAATCATTATACTGTTTGTAATTGTTTGAATTGTAGCAAATTAGGATGTTACCTTCAAAGTTATTCCACTGATTTTTTACAAGGCCCGCAAAATCATTATTATAAATAGTTAGTTGTAATCAAAATTGAAAAATGTTCTATTGTTTTTCTGCCACTGCAGAGACAGAAATAATACTCTAAGTTTAACGATTGAGTCCAAAAATACATGAAGCCCAATCATCTTTTGTTCGATATGTTGTCAAGGAATACTGCCAGTGAATATGCAGCTGCTCAAAAAGCAGAAGGACCAACTTTAAAAAGAGATTTGGATTCGAGAGATAACAAAAAAGTATTTTCAGCCAGATTTTCAGCGACAGCGTGTGGCGTCCACTCAGCCTGGCTCTGTCCTCTCCCCAAGGGGACATGTGTGTACTTTCATTTATCTTTGTATTTATTGCTTCAACACACAACTTTGAGGGAGCAGAGCTAGAGCCTCTCAGCCTCTCACACGTGATGACCAGAAAAATGTAGACCTGATTTTAAAAGCTGCACATCTGGTGCTACAGATGGTGCCGTCTGTGGAGCTCACACAGAAATCGAGATTTGAATGACTTTACAGCCTTTATTAGATTTCTCTTGTATCTACCTCCTGCCTCATAAATCTCCATCCTTCAGGCTCTCTCCAGCAGCGTGAGTTCCAGCAAACTCTTTCCCAGCAGCACTTCTCCCCACGAGACCTCCTTTGGTGAAGAGGTGGAGGTTCACAGTCTGCTGGTGGTGGATCAGCACACCTTTGAAGGTGAGACAGCTGGATGAGCATTTCCTTTTGAGCCCGCAAAGCTGATGCTTTCATATGCAGCTTCTGATGATAAATCTTTGTGCTCAGCATGGAGAAAACACAAAGCCTGGTCCTAGCACTCATCATCAAGCTTTTATATGATTATATGTGAACTCCAAATGGGTGCACAGCACACTCAGTTTACCAATCAAGCTTTATTTGTCTGTTATCAGCAATGTCGTCATCCCTGATTTAACCTCCTATTTGAATATTAACCCTTTTATACTTTAGGTGCTCCATGAATGATTTTTTTTATTCCTCAATATTCAACGCACACGCAGGCCCTTTATAGGAAAACGTAATGATTGAACACTTTGGGCGTCATGCGGAACATTTCCATGTTGAAGCCCATTGAATGTGGCAGGTTTCTGCTCCGTTCTGTTTTGCAATGCAAATGTCGCTGCGCCAAGCCTTCCCTTTAAAAATCTAATAGTTACCACATCAGCATACATTAGGGTATATGATATGTTAATGATATGTAAATAAGGGACTGGTTTTGCACATAATGTCCAGAGCTGAGTGAAATGTATCAATGTGCGATCAGATAACTGCTCATTTGCATGGGAGGATTTGATCAATCAGATGTGGAGCTTTTGTTATGCAGTAGTGCAGAGTATGGTTTGTGCACTGCAGATGGCCAGTGAGGTTATTGATGTTTACAGCTGCTCTGTTACTCTGTTATTTAGGAGGAAATGCAGGGTTCATTTACATAGTCTAGACAGTAATTCAGTTACTGCAACAGCACTGAAATCTGCAGTTATTTCTAATAAGGTTGGTCTATAATGAGCACTCACAGTCATAAACAATGGCTATGCATTGTTTAGTGTGTGTTTAATCCACATTACCTGTGTTAAATACGCCTCAATGGATGCATAATTTCCTGGTTGTCTTGATGTTGTGGCTAATGTGATCCATTGCTGTACCTTTCCCCGGGCTCCAATTTATTTTACCATGTAGCTCTTCATTCGCTGCCATGGTAAAGCACACAAGTGTTAGAAAAATGAGCAAAACCAGTGATAAATGGAAAGGTGAGCCTCCCTGACAGATGCAATAAAACTAACAGGAGCGTGAGGGAGATGAATAAATAAATAATAACACTGTGCAGACATATTTAGACATAACAAGGAACACACATCACCCGAGTCTGGATGTTGTACATCATCTCCCTAGTCTTGGCTAGCTTTGAACTCGCTGAAAAGTTAACTGAAGAGAATATGACACGAAATAGACATGAATAGGGCAATACAAACAAGCAGCCAGACACTCATACAAGCTGAAACAAACCACCATGGTAGCTGAAAGTTATTTAGAAGATAAAGCAGTCCATGATTCAACTTTGCAATAACCCACTTGCCAGAAATGTGTATGCACACAGTTTCCTGTGCAATGAGGGATGGTAAGTGACCTTCAAGATGTGCTCACTTTGGTTGTTAATGGGAAATAAAAAGTTATAGACGTGATATAGGTATGTCATCAGCAGATAAAGGCTTTAAAAATAAATCTCCTCGTTACTCAAAAGCCTGCATTTGCTCCGATACGACGGGCCGATCTGTTACATTAAAATAAATGGCATGTTTTACAAATGAAGGCTTTCTTATGTTGGCCATTGAATGTGTACATTTTGAAAAGCTTTCTTTTTTTTGTATGCATCTGCCAGCGCATAAAACGATATACATTTTACGATGCGAGAGGCTTGATGGGCTAGCTATTGGGTGGAAAGAAATACGTTATTATAACCGCATTGGCATAAATTCCTAATCTGTTGTTTAAAAGCTGTCTGTGAACCTTATCATGTTTCTAGAAGACAAAAAGACTTCATTTGTAATAAACAAGAAGCATCCTGTCTCACTGAACACCGGCAGAGAGTCATGAAAAATGAACATATAAATGTGAAATCCTATTAAAGCAAGATGGATTGTGCTGGCCTCCCACTCAGCTTCCTAAGGTGTTTATGTTTTATTTCTCTATCAGTCCTCCATGCCCATCAGTTCCTCCCCAGCGAGTATGCCCTCAGCATGGTGTCATGTCGTCTGGGAAAAGACCCGTCAGTGTATTTTATCGTCGGCACCGCCATGGTGTACCCAGAGGAGGCTGAGCCCAAGCAGGGCCGCATCATTGTCTTCCACTACACCGACGGTCAGTATCTCTTCTTCACTCTCTCCATCTCAAGAAAACAAACACACACACACACACACACTCTCCCCTGTCTTTTCCATCAACCTTCTCTGTTTGCCTTCTCCAGCCGCTACTTTATCCTTCACCCGGTTTCATTTTCTGTCCTGTGTTTTCACTGGGGGACACTTTGTCCTACCTTCCTCTTGGTTCCCTTCTCACTTAATCATTTTCTTATCACTTCTTATCAGATTTGTCTCCTCTCACCACTCCTGATTCCCTCTGACTCTCTTTCATACTCTGGGCCTTTCAAGGTTCATTGCTTGCCTTTCATTTGACTCTTAGCTTTTCATTCAAGATATAGTCTGTGCTAGTTAAGTGGGCATTGATGTTGCCTTCGATCCGGCTGACAGACACTGTGCTCTTTCCTGCAGGTAAGCTGCAAACTGTGGCTGAGAAGGAGGTGAAAGGAGCTGTCTATTCTATGGTGGAGTTCAATGGCAAACTGTTGGCCAGCATCAATAGCACAGTAAGTAGTGCTTGTTCCGCATTGGACTGTCAGCACTTGACTTTTTCTCGCACTGTGCCACCTCTGTTTATGCACTCTATGTGAAGACTTCAAGTGAATGCATCTTGACAATGAATGGGCAGGTTACAATTTGAAATATGTTTGACATAATATGTTTTTATCAGAGTTTCTAAAAACCTTAAGACTTGTTAGCAAAGTCTCAGCCTTTAAAGAAGGAGCTGACTTCTTTCAAGTGCACCTCTAAAGACGTTGCTTGTACAAGACTTTATCACGTAGTCCGGGTATTAAAACGAGCATGTCTCAATTCTGCTTCGGTTTTTCTGCCCATATGGAAACAGAACTATCAATTGTAACATGATTATGTTTACATTGGAGATTGATATAAATAACTGGATACCCTCTACAGCTAGTGTTGGGAGGCTTTCATTCAATTCTCTTTTAACTAAACATTCTTTAACAGATCATGTGAGAATGTTTAAATACTACATGTAAATAGTTTTAAAATGCTATATATAAAATACAATACCTATTATTTTGTTAGAATATAAAATTGATATTCTTTTTCAAGTTTGTAGGCTTGTTTTTTCTTCTACAACCCTTCCCCCTAATTTCCCCATTCAACAAAACGAATACCTTTACCTGAATATATAAATGTTCGATACTGTTTTGACTCAATAAGGTTAAAACATATATTTAAATAAAAGCTTGAAAGTTGTAAAAATACCAAGACTAAGCATTTGAACATGTGTTTGGATCCAAGTTTTAAGGTTTGATACACAATCATAGTAGTCAGAGTTGGAGCGTAAGGTGGTTGAGATCATTAATTGTAACCAGCAGGAAACCCTCTGGATGATGATTTGTGTGTTTTAGAATTGTCTTTCTTTGATTTGTTTAAGAAGCATGTGATCTCTCTCTCCTCAGTCATTTCAAAGTGCAATATTGAAATAGATTCATCCCATATGGATTGCTCTGGGAAACCACTTGACATACAGTGGGAAAGAAGCCCCCCCCCCACTGTCCTGTAATAACTGGCTCACCCACACTGAGCTATAGATAGATTAAAGGATTACAAGCTTGAAAAGGAAGCTTTATCTTTAAGATATTGAGAGTTTAATAGATATGGGTTGCAGATTTCTGGAGTTCATCTCACATTACCACTCCATACCACCTCCTTTATTGAATTGGACTTTAAAGATTTATATTTCAAAAATGGTGATTAGTGGCTTAACCTTCGATGTCTTGGAGCAACTGCATCCCAGTTTAATCACAGAAAATATAAAAATGTGTATCTGTCATTATACCTTTTCTTCTTTGACAGCATCAAAACTTATTCAAGAGTGACCTGACATTACTGCTTGTAAAATGCCTTTTTGTATTAGGTTTTTTAATGATTTCTATCATCTGAACAGAGCCCACCGATGCATTATTCTTGTTCCTGTGACATTTTCTTGGCAGAATAACTTCCCATCACTTTCACTGAAAAAAAAATCAAAATCGAATTGATGTCAGTATCGGTTAATATTGGAGTTGTGGGCCTTTTATATTTCCAAGCTGTTGAAGAAATTGATACAAACAAGAGAGGAGATCTGGATCTGAGCTAAAATCAATAAAGTTTTTTTCCTGTGATAATGAGGAAACGTTTAACTGCTTGACAACCAATACATAACCTACATTTAAGAGATGAATACAATATCAGTCTCTGGATTAGGTAGATATATTTATATTGTTATGCATTTTTAGAGAATTAATAGAATTTCACTTTTTTTTTTGTGCAGCATCGTTAATGCAAAGAAGCCTAAAGTACATCACATAAAATGATTACAACGAAGAAACAAAGTTAAACAGAACAAAGAACATTTTAACTAATGTATGTTTCAAAAAACAAAAGTAAAAACTGTAAAGCCATGTGAATGAAGTTTAAAACATGAAATATGCAATACATGAAATAGAATGCCACAGAATGAAATAGAATGCCACAGAATGCTCCTGCTGTGAACTGGCTGACATTTTAGCTCCACTTTGCCATAGAATGCCAACAGTTGCTTATCTGATTCCCTCTCACAAAAACAAAAACAGAGATTCTCCTTTTCCTTTTTTATTTCTTTGAAGATGATGAGCTGAACTCTGGCTCCACATACATCGTTAATGTCACTGCGTCTTATTAGAGGTGTTGTAAAAATCATTTTGGCATCATGTGTACAGTAATTGTATCCAGACACCACCCCTCAATCCGTCACTTAACTAAAAACTATTTAAACAAATTGTAAGAAGGTGCAAATCGTGTGAAGCGGCGAGTGTAATTAGCCGTCACCAGCTCACTTAACGTGGCAGCTAATAACGTCCACTGTAATCACCTTTCACCGAAGCAGAACATATTCAGCGTGAATGCTCCTGCTGTGAACTGGCTGACATTTTAGCTCCACTTTGCTAAGTGCCGATCCTCCACCTCTTGGCAGCTTGTGTGACACCAAACTATTTGTTTCAGGTCCGTCTGTACGAGTGGACGGCTGAGAAGGAGCTGAGGACCGAGTGCAACCACTACAACAACATCATGGCTCTTTACCTGAAGACCAAAGGAGACTTCATCCTGGTGGGAGACCTGATGAGGTCCGTCCTGCTGCTGGCCTACAAACCCATGGAGGGCAACTTTGAAGAGGTGAGGAAATAACACAAGTACTCCGAAAGGGCTCGAGGATTGTGTGTGTGCTTTCTCTGTCTTTTTATCTTTCACATACTCAGCCCTTCTCACATCAAACAAACATTTGGTTGGTTTGATGTGTGACTTATCTTTGGGGCAGAAAAGTGTTATTTTTTTCTGTCTCTATCAAGCACTGTAGCTGAATTCTACCTCCCAGCTGTTTGATGGGTGGAGTGTTGAAATTGATTAGTGGCAGAAAGATAAAGAGATGTGAGGAAGAGTCACGCACGCTGGTGTAAAGGCATGCTGTGGTGCTGAGCTTCAGTTTGATAAGTGTGAGGAAAATAACTTACATTTATTCAGAAATGATACATACCGCAGTGTTCCTCAAAACTTCAGATTAAAAATAGAAGTTTGTAACTATCGGAAATACAATTTTCTAATACACCGAGAAATAAAGGTGCCAAGAACCATATATGTTTCAGTTTATTTGTTTATAGTGTCGTGGATAGTCTTGTTTCTTTGGCTTGTCCCAATAGGAGAAACCTGTTTGACTTATTTTCTAACCGTCCACTCTGAACTCTTCCAGAGGGTTCTACCTAGAGCTCGTATAAAAGGAATGTACCTAGAACCATCTGTCGGGTCTGTCTAGCACATTTACACCTTTTTATAAGGCTCTACAGAGAACCCTTTTATATTACAAGGGTCTTGAACAAGGGGCTCTAGAAAAGCCTTATAAATGTGTGCCCTATTGCCCTCTTATAAACACATTTTATTCTACAGACGAGGCAACAATACACATTGAGTTCCATATTGTATATTGTGGTTAAAGTAACCCTAACACTCCAACAGTCATTTTTATTCAAAAATGTCAGCCTGCGTCTATGGGGACTTTATCAAACCGCTTCAAGAGGCTAAACAGCGGAAATAAAGTGAATATTGGACTTGCATTTTTCAGTTTGCCAAGAACTTCACTTACCTAAAAGTGTTTTTCTAAAGGTTCTCCATAACGACTTTCTTCTCCTCTCCCCAGGTTCTTCTTTAATGAGTGGTATTCTAATATAACGCTGAGTAATGAAGGACATAACATACCCCCTGACATGTGAAACAATTCCTTCAACTGGTATATACTCCTAAAGTGATGTGATATACTCCTAAAGGGATGTGATATACTGTGATATACTCCTAAAGGGATGTGATATACTCCTAAAGGGATGTGATATACTCCTAAAGGGATGTGATATACTCCTAAAGTCATGTGAGGCAAAAAAAAGCCAGAAAGTTAAGAGTCTGCACTCTTGTCTTTCTAAATATAACAATACAGAGGGTTTTTCCTTCACTAAAGCTTCTTGGGCCGAGCATCCGTCACAGTCTCTAATCACGATGCTCACAGAGTGCAGGCCTGCATAGATAGTACAGATGCTTCGGGCGTTTCACTATTTTCTTCCTTTTTTGTGGCATGCTCGTTTCTTCAAGGGTGTTTAAAAAGTCTATTATGGCTCTTGTAGTGAAACACACTGGCTGGGGTTTGGATTTCATCACTTGTGTGCAGTCAGCGCTTCTTTGCTCATAGATTATACAGTCTCTACTTGGAGGCACGAACCACACTGCTATCAGCCCAAGTCCTCTGCGTTGTTTACCGTTTTACCCAACACATCTGATTATTACATTTGTTTCCTCAGATTGCACGTGACTTTAATCCTAATTGGATGAGTGCTGTGGAAATCCTGGATGACGACAACTTCCTTGGGGCAGAGAACGCCTTCAATCTGTTTGTCTGCCAGAAGGACAGGTGAGTGTCTAATTTCTACAGCTGAATTTGAACCTTTCCAGTAGACTTGTTTGATCCCTTGGGCTCTTCCTCTATAGCTGAACTGACACAAATTATCTCAATGGCCTCCTCTATATCCACTGAAATCAACTTGAAGTCATTGGAGGTTGCTCCTTCTTTACTGAGTCCCATGTTGCTCCTTACAGCAGCATCATTCATAGGAATGTGTTTTAACTCCATTGTCGCACCATTTGTTTTTTTGAATGTATGAGTCATTTTACCACATAGCTATTATCCGTTCAGTCCTTTTTAGACGAGTGTTGATTTCATAAAAAGAAAGATGTGGTCTGAGAGTGTTATTATGCCAACACTTATTATCCACCTAATACATCAGGTCGGACCACTCTATGCTTTTGACCTTTATTTTTGAATCGCATCTCTCTTGCTGTGGCCCTCCCTGCTTTTCTTCACCTTTTTATCCATTACTGCTCTGGCATTCTCTGACCTTTTTCAACACTTTTGATATCTCTGCCCCTCTTGTTTTTTCTTTTGCTTAATCAATCACTTTTGCCCTCAAAATTGTCTAACTTTGCCATCCATTTATTTTAGTTTTACACTCTCATTTGATCTCCCCCGTCTTCACCGCTCTACCTCCCACACGTTCCTAATCGCTCCCTCTCCCTTCTTTGTATTTCTCTCCCACCGTCCTTCCTACGGTCAGTGCGGCCACCACAGACGAGGAGCGGCAGCACCTGCAGGAGGTGGGGGTCTTCCACCTCGGGGAGTTTGTAAATGTCTTCTGCCACGGCTCGCTGGTGCTGCAGAACCTGGGCGAGAGCTCCACCCCCACCCAGGGCTCCGTGCTCTTCGGCACCGTTAACGGGATGATTGGTAGGCCCACGGACAATTTCACACTCACAGAAGCATATACACACCATTTCCTGCATGTATTTGAACACCTGCTGTAGTATATATCAACTTTGTTATGAACCACAAAAGAAAATGATTTTTGCTAAGGGTCTAAGTTGACCCCAGGTGTTCAATTTAACCTCTAAAAGGAATATTTTAACATCTAAGGAAAGCTCAACCTTCGCTTTGATTCAGAGGAAATGAACAAAACGTGTTTTCTCAAGATAATCTACAGAGTTCTCTCATTCTGTTTTACTTTAATTAGAAAACAGTTGACATCTGAAACTCTAAACCCACTGATAAGTTCCCAGTCGCCAATTTTAACAAGTGTTATAATGTATTTAGATTAAATCAAGTGAAAGGCATCTTGAAATAGTCGACTTTCAGTCAGCAAAATGCCAGGAAAAAAAACAGCGTGAACAATACGTTTGAATGCTTCACCTCCACTTGTAACTTTGATGCTGTAGCAGCTGAACTCAGACCAATTACTGAGTACACAAACCTTTGTGAAAACCATTTATTCAGAGCTCATATTTCCATTTCAGAAAGAGCAAAGAGATGATAGTTGTACACCTCATTGCTCAGATTAAAGCAGCAACTTTCAGGCTGGCTTTAATGATGTCAGAGATGAGAAATAGAACATCGTTGTGACACAGTAGTAATTTACAATGTGCGCCCTCACAGCACCAACAGCACAGCACATTATTCCACCTCGACACCTTGTGTTATTCTTTAAAAAGTCTCTGAGGAAAGTTTAACAGGAAATGAGATCCACCGTGTACATCCCAGTAAAAACTTTCTGAAGTAACCCGTACATTGAAATTGGCTTCAGTGTGTAATGAAGAAAAATAGCTCAGGTCGTCTTATCGCTCCTAGACATGTTGTGATATATTAGACGAGAAGAAGCTGCTGGCCACACCCTTAACTTGCCAACCAAGTGGACCAACTCCTAATAAACTTGTTTTGTCTTCATAACCTAGACATTGTGTGATGGATGTTACAAATGAAGATGGCTGTGTTTGCATACATACTGCATATTACATACTCAACCAGTATGTACTGCATACAACCTACTAAATGAACAGCAGAGTGGTCACACTGAAGTTAAATCAAGCGAAACATCTCTGCATCACATGACTGTACCGATTATGACATTAATGCTACGAGCTACCGCTCAATGAAAATGGTCCTTCGCAAGTTTAAAACAGTTAATATTTTAGTGTTTAATATTTATCTGAAGTACATTCTGAATGTGAGCTCCCACTCCTTTTTCTCTTTACTGTAACATCACTCAACATTATTCTTAATTATTAAATGTTGACGATTAATTATCTAAACGCCTGCCTCGCTGTCCCAAGAGTTGCACATTTTGGGACAGTTGAGTTCAATAAGCCCACATCTTGTACTTTAAAAAATGGTGCTAATTTGGTTCGCATCCAGGGGTTTCTCGCATACACAAAATCCACAAATACATTATTTGGTTCCAGCTTCTCGAATGTGAAGATGTTCTGCATTTTGTAACTCAGTGAATAAATCCTCTCTGGTTGTTTGACTGTGAGTCAGTTAGTGAGTTGGGTATGTTGGCTCGGACAGAACGAGTTCTTTCAAGTTGTTATGCCATTTTTTTCTAATTTTCTTTTTAGAAACGTATAAAATAGAATAAAAACCGGTATGAAAAGAACTAGATTGATTGATAATGAAATAATCAATAGTAATCCACCAGCTCGTAGCAGTTTTTACCCAACTCTGCCTTGCCAATGCGTGTTAATTCACAAGTTTCTTTTTTTTTAACTGCATTGTCAATCTCAGTGCAATCTATTTCCCCGGAGCATCAAACTGAAGCACTCACAGAACATGAACATTTGTATACTCCCTTAAAGCTCTGACATTTACAGGGACATTTCTCTCAAAATAAACCGTCTTAGTCATGAATGATTGAAGCATTCAAATCATGCTACTTTACTCCCTACATTGTCTTAGCGAACAAGCATGAAACTTGCATTAGGAGACTTGTGATCACACTAAGGATCTCCTTATTTATTAATTATAGAGCTTTTATGAGTTCTGTGTTGAAGCCAGTGTGGCTTTCTTCTCACTGATGATACATCAAAAGTACCATCTGCTGCAGTGAAGTGTGGTTTTGAACCTTACACCTTAAAAAAAAGGAGGGAGGGTTGTGTTGATGTTTCTGTGTGTGTGTGTGTGTGTGTGTGTTAGGTCTGGTGACGTCCCTGTCTGAGGGCTGGTACAGTCTCCTCCTGGACCTGCAGAACCGCCTCAACAAAGTCATTAAGAGCGTGGGGAAGATCGAGCACAGCTTATATCCTTCTTATATGTTCACACCTTTCCTCCATCTTTCACCACCCGCACTGACAGGTGTGGTTGAAGTAACTAAACATGCAGGGAAGTCACAAAGTGATGATAGATGCTTTAATTAGCTTCAAATGCATAACATCGTTTATACAGTATGTAGCCACTTTGCCAAAGGGTGTGATGATTTCATTTCTATATTCTATTCTATATTTCATTTTTTGCATTGTGTTTCATCTAAAACATTTATGTTTAAGAGCACTTCTAAGAGAAAACTATACATTTTTAAAAGATCGCTCTGGCTTCTAGGGAAATTGTGTGGAAAATGTTAATCAAGAAAATAATTGTCAGAATTGTGTGATGAAAGTTGATGGTCACTATTGTATTTTAAAAAACCTCAAACTGTGAGCAATTTGTATAATTTCAATGATTTTTTTTTTTTTACATGTTGATATAGAAATTAAGGGTGATTTCAACCCAGATGAACTGGAGGTGTTTTGTAATCAACATCTCACATTAAAATCCATGTACAAACTTTAAATACCAGATCTGTTCAAATTCAACCAGCGACCTTAGCTGTTTTTTATTCATTCCTTCATATCATACTGTTTTTTTGTTGACTTTGCCTGAGGTAAAATACGTGATATTGTACCTAAAGTGCTATCCTTAGGTGAAACAGCACCCTTGTATTGATTTTCCTTGACTGCGCTTCACCTGGAGGTCCTTCCACACAGAGCGCAAGACAGAGCAGGCCACGGGATTCATCGACGGAGATCTGATCGAGAGCTTCCTGGATCTCGGTCGAGCCAAGATGCAGGAGGTCGTCAGCACTCTGCAGGTAGGAGCTCAGCACACTCATCCAGGCTCACACACTGCGAGTACAACCAGAGGAAATGTGATCCTACCTTCTTCTCTGAAAATATATATCTAGACTTGTTCAATGTTGTGAACACATTGCATGTCTTCATACTCAAGGACATTAAACACTAAGGTATTGTGCGTATTCAACAGCTTGATCATTGTCAGGTTGTGATAACAGCTTGTGGTGACCTGTTATAAACCCAATTACGGGTTTATAGTCCTATGTCAAAATTGGATTAAGGGGGGAATCCAACTCCACCTCCGCTAGATAAATGGTGTATAATCTGTGCGTAATGTAAGATGCAATTGGGTTGTAGTCTTAAATTAATCATAGGTGTCTTCTAAGTCAATTTAAACCAATTAGTGTGGCATCTCATATTCCCATTCAAAGCCAGGTGCAATCCAGCGCATGGATATTTAAATTGTGGATTTGGCAAATTGCAAAAGCGGCTTTGCCCAGCAGATGTATTTTGTCCTTTGCCGCTGGACGCTCTGCCACGCCAAGTCTCCAATCCTCAATCCCCTGTACCATGCACACCTCCATTTGACAGCATATAAGGAAGAAAAGGCATAAAAAACATATAGAATTCCGCAATTGTGATTCCCAAAACTATCTAAATCATTGTATGAGAATAAACCCTTAAAATATCATTGAAAACATATATTGATAAATAATGAAAACTGTATTGTTTGCGAAGCGACCCATTGAGGAATAAAGCTGAGCTCCGCTGCAGAGGGACAGCAAAAATGTGCTGAAAAATCAACCCGAATGAAACGAGTGTGTGCCAGAAGGGGAGAGGAGACGCTGAGCACAACCAGCACTTACGGCTCTTCATGTTGATAAGAAAAAAGATGTGTGGAGAGCCTCTGAGTGAGAGACAGAGGGAATGGGCTGCTTATGACACGAGTCACGTCTGTTGCGCTGATCTCCGGTCAGAGCGGTCACCGGGGAGCAGAGGAGCCGACAACATGCTGCAGGTCGAGAGCACAGAACGCTTGAGAGACTTACTTCATTATATTTTCAATTATAACCTTCTGCCTGCTCATTGCATTTTCCTTAACATGAATGGAACATTACCACTATTAATTGGTGCTGCAGTGCGTCCATGTTTCAAAGCATCTTAATGATACAGAATTTGCAAAACATGTTTTGTCATTGACCTCAAACTGGGTTTTTCGTCATCGGAGCAATCACTTTCTGCGGCCTTAGACTGATAGATAGCAATGCCTGAGCACACCCCATTATAAGACCATCAAACCCTAGGGTGCATAGTGAGAGCCATTAGATGTGCTACTCGCGCAATGTTGGAGCCAGGCAAGAGAATGGGAACTGCCTTGGTCTACAACTAGCGCTGTACTGTGCGCTGCTCGGCCCAGGTTAAAGGAGAGGCCCGGAGACATCACTGTTATTAGAGTCTGGGCCTCTGCTCCAATAACAGCAAACAAAAACGGTTGTCATTTGTTTATTTGGCTTTTTTTTATCGTTTATTTAGCAGGGATAATGCACAATAATGAACACTTAAAACAATAAAATGTGTCAAGCGTAAATATGCCAGATTTAGCTTTGAGCTAATATCCATCCGCAGTCACTCACATAAAACATTTAAGAAAATGACATGACACCGCTTGAAGCGCTGTTGAATTTCAAAGACGCGTTTGACAGTTTTATTAGCTGCTCCTTTGCTTTGTGTGTGGGAACTGGGAATAATGTTCATGGTAGAACAGGTGGCTAGATCATTTTTGGCAGATAAACAATTAAACACATTCTGCTTTATATTTGTTCTACTCTCCTGGGATTTAAAAAAAGTATTTAGCTGAGAAACAAAGAATTGTCCTTAGTTCTCTCTTAAGACCAGCTAATAGACAGCCAGGAAACATGTTGCCTCTTCAGTTGCTCATTTACATTTTTAAACAATACAAATATGCACCGTTAAAATAATTACTGGTAGACCTGTAATCTTATTATTTGTGATTAGTGCTGCAGCTGATGATTAAGGTCATAATCCAAATCTGACGATAAGCTTGATTAATCATAGAATAGTGAGAAATACCTGTCTTCATTTCCTATATAGTGACGTCATCCTTACCAATTCCCTACCAAGAGTCTTAAATATAGCTAACTATCATATTGAGGTACTTGGAACTGTGAGGTGTTTGACATTTTAGCATTGTTTTGAACTAAAGGGTTGCTTATTAATGAAATCTGCTTCTCATCTAATCTATTAATCGACAAGTCTTTGCAGCTTACCGAACTGCTTTAATTTCAACATTAAGTCCTATGTTAAAGGGCAAGGTGTAAAACAACAAAGACGACCAGATGATGGTCACATTGAAACAAAGAAGAAGCCAAAAATTGGTGACAAATTATACGTTGATGATTTTTATGAGCTTCTTAAAGCATCTTGCCTCTGAACAACTGAAAACAATTGCCAAAAAAAGGTGAAACATTTCTAGATACTAATTGTAGAGTAAATAAAAAGAGCCTTCCTTTCCTCACCTGTTTATCTTTGGTTCTAATGTGGAGGCTCACTGTTTGTTTGTCACTTGTAGATCGATGACGGCAGCGGCATGAAGCGTGAGGCCACAGTGGACGAGGTCATTAAGATAGTGGAGGAGTTGACGAGGATCCACTAACCACCCCCCACCCCCTCGCTGAGTGAGAGGAGAGTGCCCGAGGTAGAGCAATGGTAAAAAAGCCCAGGAACGGTTTGGGTTTTGCAGATTTGTAAATAGTTATAAATAAACAGTGCGTGCATGTTCGTCCTTCAGACTTCAATGAATTGTAAAACCGGTAAGGCACTGAAGGTGCCGCACGTAGACATCAAACCAGAGTTTCCCGGCGAAGTGCATAGCATCCTGTTTGGACGACAATAAGACCAAAGTGAAGACATTGGTCGAGTGTGTGTGCGTGTGCGTGTGTGTGTGTGTGTGTGTGCGCGTGTGCGTGTGTGCGTGCGTGTGTGTGCGTGTGTGGAGTAATGTGTGATTATAAATAGGAGAAATCAGAGATTTTCCTCACCAAAAACATTCTCTGGGATATTTGTGACCATAACAGATCCTCTACCTAACCCCACAGTTAAATCTGACTGGCTTTCACTTTTCAAGACATAATTATATTCTGGAGTTACCACGCTGTACGAAAAACAAAATGAGGAAAAAGATAGATTTATAGCTATTTTGTCTCTGTGATGTTTTTTTTGTTTATTCTAATAAACGTTGCTTTAGTACTGTTGACATTTGTGTTGGTTTTTGTCCTCAAAACATGGCGGCTCTGCTCCTATAACAAGTTATAGGCAACGTTTTCAATGGATATGCTTCATTTCTAGCTACGCTAACTGCGTGGCTCTATGAATGGCAATGTGGGTCTGTTGATCTGTTCACTTCTTAAGTCCAGACTGAAATATGTCAACAGCCAATAAAATGAAACATGAAATCTATTTGCTCCCAATATTTAGGGGCGTAAAATATCCTCTTGTGGGACTACAAGGTAAAAATGTGGAATATGCCATTTCCTATTCTATCAAATTGGCACAAACGTTTGAAGACATTCATGATTCCCAGACGTCGAATCCTACTGACCTTAGTTAGTGATCTTTTCTTCTTTTTTTTTTAAATCAAATATCCCCACAGTTAATTCAATGTATTCCTGTAGAAGTTGGTGCTGACATTCATGATCCCCAGACATATTATGCTAAAAAAAATGTCAGGTTCATTTGTATTTTGTGCCTCTACTGTGACATGTTTCTACGCTTTAAGGTTAAAAAAGCTCTTTGTTTTTCTCATACTGCCTGTGCTGCAGCACCTCTTTTCACCCTCTGTCTGAAACCAGAGCCCAGTCTGCTCTGATTGGTTAGCTGGCTGGCTGTGTTGTGATTGGTCCACCACTTAGAGATGTCCCACCCATTACCCTAACGCTTACAATGTGGTGAGTGCTACCCAATAGATGCACTAGTATTACAAAGTGATGTTACGTTATGATGTCACGGACGTAAACAAAGGAGTCCAATGGAGGCGTTTCAGGCAGGAGGGAGTGTGTGGGAGAGAAACTCCCTCTGGATGGAACTTTCGGATTTTAGCCTTTGCAGACCATTTACATGCACACAAACCTATATAACACTACATGAAAGGGAAACCCCCATAGAGCATAATAGGGCCTCTTTAAACTCCTGATCTTACACCTAGCTTCATCACCATGTGTTTTTGCTTTTCAACATAAAATATGATTAATTACCTCTCCCATCAGCCGATTAATGTGAACACTAAATATACAATTCTGTTTATTCAGCATGAACCATTTGCATTTACACAGAAAATGTTTGTCCTTTACCTTTTTGTCCTTTTCTGCTTCTATATAAAACCATTTAAAAACACTTTAACAACCTGAACTCTGCAATCGCCAATGTTGACCTCGTTTATCAAATTAAAATTGCATCCCGGTCCGGTTTCAAATTAAAGCAACCTTTCAACATGTAGCCCACGCAGACATAATAAATGTGTTTGTGTGCATACTAACACGTAGGGTTTCCTTCTGCTGCTCAAAATGCTGAACTTTACTGTATATTGTTTTCTCAAGCACCTCATTAATATCTGTAATGTGCATACTTCTTTTCACCCACGGCAAACCGTGCTAGAGAATCGAGAATCAAGCTCTTTCAGCCTAGGATATCAAAGGTCTTACAGACTGAATTTCTGGAAGGGTGATGTTGCAAACTAGCTTCAATCACAATTCTCTACAGCAGTGGTCGCCAACCAGTCGATCGCGATCGACCGGTCGATCGCGAGTGTGGTGCGGGTAGATCGCGGACCGTTAAAACAAAAAGTAACAAAAGAAAGAAAAATAAAATTAAAATAATAATGTTTGAAAAATACATTTTTAGATGTAAACCTATCATCCACCACCCCGTTAGCAGGTGCCACTTGATTGACGTATATTTGAGACACCTCAATAATATAATACATTAACCGTGCTTTGTGAACCTCATGGCACAAGAGAGGACGGCAGGACTGCACACCTTCATACGATCATTATAGTTATACAAACAATAAGAGAATCCATGAAAAACAGGTATGAAATAGCCTACTATATGGCAGTAAAACAATAATACAGTTTAAAAGGGGAGTGATTTGTAAAATATCCATAAAGAAAAAGAACATCTGTTTACAGTTTTGTCTCATATGGGTGCTGAGAGAGGTACCCATAGATCTCTTCATGTTGCTCTCAAAGTGCACCAGATTGATGCTTTCAACTTCAATCTTTTAAAAAAAATCTTCCCGGGGGAGCATCCCCCCAGACCCCCCCTAGAGGAGGTGAGGACCCCCCTAGAGGAGGTGAGGTCCGCCCCCCACTCATAAACAAATAGCACTTTACCCCTACCTATATGCCGTGAGCTGATTATGGAGCCTTCATTGTAACAGTAATTCAGATGCAATTAGCCTATATAAAAGGCCTCAAATTGGAAGCACTGTCTGTGCCGTCTTTTTCACTAAATTCTGCAATAGGTAGATCTCGCCTTTCACCTAGGCCGAGGTCGGTGATCTTGGGCTTAAAAAGGTTGGTGACCACTGCTCTACAGTGTTGCATTTTAAACTGAGGATACTGAACCAACTGGCCACAAACTGGCACAACCTCTTCCAGTTTCAAGACCTATTTCTGTCCTCCTGACACCATCCTGAGGCAAACAGGCTTTCTTTTGCTCTGGTGTTTTGTTCACCTGATTCTCTATTGTTTCATCCTCACCCCTCCTTACTGTATAAATATACACTTGTTTTCTCAACTTAAATAACTAGCACAGCCTTACATAAAATTGGCAAACATCATCTTGTTCTGTTAATGGTCGATAGTGCTTATAAAGACTGAAGAGGTGATCAGAAATGGAATAAATGAATAGTATAGTCTTCCTCTTTTCATTGATGTTACATTCCAATTAAGATGTTCTATCATTGAAACTCAAAAGGAAATCATGCTACTGAGATTCATATTTTAGACTATGCGTGAAGTAAATGTGATAACTTGTGTGTTAATGCACTACCGAGGACACGCTAGGAAGAACCCATTTTTGCTCATGTCAAATAAAAAGGCAATTTCACACATCCACCCATCTGTGAAAAAAAGATTATTTCCTGTAATATGTTAAAGATTCAAGTAAAACATCCCTTTACATTGGTATCAGTGCTTTTAGTCTTTAACTCAAAAACATATTATTGGTATTATGTTGGTGTGGATTGATCTCATCTAGGTTGGGATTCATGTATGCTCTAAAGGTGCAGTAGTTCAGACAGTATTTTTAAAGGTTTTTCAATATAAAATAGTAACTTTCTTAAGACTAGTGAATCTTACAGCTGGGATAACATCTGGACTTCTAAGCAGGCTGGATATAAGGCCGGGTCAAAGCCCATAACTAGGGCCAAATTCACAAAGCTTCACAGTACAAAGAGTTTCCTCAAGTGATGAAATTCTTAGAAAACTCTTTGAATTATTTTCCTTTTAAGAGTAAAGACTAGATCCTGGTGGTTGTAAAAGCTATTCACAAAGCATTTAAGAGAGCTCCTAAGGTGGAGCATTGTAAGTAGCAGGGGGGATGACCTTTGAGAGGCTGAAGAATTTCTGAAGCAGAGGAGAAAATTGTGGAAAATATATAACGAGAGAGATTCTCTCCAAACGCTGAAAGACAGTGAGTTAATAAAATGTTAGAAGTTAGATTGTGAAGTTCTAATGTGCGGTCGATCTCATTAGAGAACTGCTCACTTCACCCAAAGCAATAACACCAGAAATTAAAGTGATCACAACACTAAGACAATAACCTTTCATCAGAAGCTAGCTTTATGGTAGATAACAGTGCATCCGGAAAGCATCCATTAACCTTTTTCGCATTTTGTTATGTTAAAGCCTTATTTCAAAATGGATTAAATTCATTTTGTTTCTCAATATTCCACACGTAATACCCCATAACGACAAAGTGAAAACATGTTTAAAGGGGACCTATCATGCTATATTTGAATAATATATTGTAGGGCTTATAAATATACCTATATAAGGTATATTTATAAGTTTAATTTTTCAAAATACCAAACAGATCATGCATTTTAGCCATGCCTCATTTTGCCTCACTCCAGCTCTGTCTTTGCATGAGCTGGAGCTGACCCCAGGGGGCGAGGCACAAGCGTCATGTTACTATGCTGTTGCCATGCCACGGCAACCTCTCATTCCCCTGATAGGTGGAGAGTTGACCATACAGGCGGAGTGCACCTCTGTGACATCAGAGGTGCAAATCAGAATCCACATGTATCAAATCCGTTGCAGCCCTGTTTTTAGAGATTTGGGTATGGAGGAAAAGAGAGAGGGTTGTATTTTCTGACACTTGGCGAGTTCCCTGGAACACCGGGGACACATATTCATGTATAAAAGACGTACAAAAGTGCATTTTGCATGATAGGTCCCCTTTAAAAAGATGTCCAACTTTTATGGATTTAACCATCTTTGCAAGCATTTCAGCACTTAGTCCACCACTTTCTATATTTATTAACAGTTTTACAATTTAAATACTTACAATTACATGAAAGGGATATGAGACAGAAAACCAGACAATAGTTTGCAGTTTTTGTCCATTTGTTTCATCGCTTTATTTTTGCCATCTCCAGTCAGGTGACAAAGGCCTCGAGTGAACAAAAAGTTTGCAGCTCTACCACCCTGCCCAACCCGATCGAGTCCATCAAAAAGAAACACGCCTCACTGCAAACCGCTTCACACACGACGGAGGCCCACAACGCTACACACTCATGCCTCTCAAAACTAAATATAACACTCCTTTTGTATTGGGGGGTGGCCGGGGCCCCGGTGTACGAGAGGTGTGAGCGCCCCTCCAACTTTTACACAGACAAGAGACTGGCATCACGACGGTAAATCACTGAAGTTTGTTCCTGTTCTTGGGAGAAAAAAAACACTTCTCTTTTCTTGGTTTTAAGAGCTTTGACATGCTGAGGTGGACCTCTAGTGCTCATAAGTGCTTGCCATCACCAATCCCAGCGTTTAGGAGAGAAAAGGACTTTGGTTGGGCCCAATCCACACAGGAACCAGAGCTGAGGTCATGCTGGAAAGCAGGATGGCTGCTAAAGGGATGGCCTAAACCAGAATTGAGCAACTACAAGGGGCTAGCTACCCTCCCTCCCACTGCTTTAACAACTCAAAACTATCCCCTCCCCTCCCTTCTAAAAGGCTATCTTCAATAATATAAAAAAATAATCATAAACAAGCTGAATCCCGTTGTTATTTAAACATTCAGGAATGTGAGTGGCCAAACAAACACCTTGAAAGCAAAAATAAGCAGGAATGAGCAACTGATCATCATTTTTGAAGTCTTTTTATATAAAGTTACCAAACAAAACCTCAGTGATCAGGCTGACCACGCAGCGAGCTGCAGTGGAACTTCCCAACAGCAATGGAAAGGAGAAAGGAGAAGGGGAGATCAAATAAAATATATGAGCATTGAGGAGAGAAATCACAACAGAATGATTGAGGTTGTCTGTGAAGGCCGACGCTTTGGTGACAGAACCAATGAGAATGCAAGAGACTGGTTGTAGGTGGTGCTTGTTGCCTGGGCAGCAAAGTCTGTAGTCTATTTGCTGGTCAGGACCTTGGTAGCGACAGCACATTCCTCACCCATGGCAGAAATGACAGTGACCTGCAGAGAGCACACAACATGTTTAAGTCAATCATCTGAAACTTTACAGACGCAGCTCGATCTTCACACTTTCCACTGGAGTGACAACAATCCCGTCTGCATTAATGTCAAAATAATAAGAATAAGAACACATGGCAGACAGATTTCTGCTTCTTCATGAGATGCTATTTATGACAAGCAATGCCGAGAATTTGCCATATCGTCATCAGTTTCAGGTGTCAGGCATCTTCACGACGATAAAATTCAAAATGCATACCACCCAGGACTTGCATCAGAACCAAAGAGTATCTTGTGACCCTCAAGAGTAATTTAACATCTTCGTGCAGAGAGGTCTCACAGGTCATTACAGAGCTGCATTTATTAATTAAGAAGCCACGACAGTGGCACTTGTCCTTTCCTGAAAGGATAAAAACATTTCTTCAGAAAATTTGTATGACCATTTGCATTAATAAAAAATAAAAGCCCTTGTTCTTTGTTCCCAGTAGGCTTAGTTCACACCATATATAGTTATATTGAAAAGGTAGCCGGTTTCTAGCCAAAAACTATATCTTACAACATTACATTTAAACACATGACATTATAATTTAACTCTGCCCAATATCAATTTTTACCTAATAGTTTGAATGCATCATAATTCTGGCTCAGTCCCCATATCCATTGCAGCACTTTTAAAAATAGCTACAGGAATAAATAAAAAGGGTATGACAAGTTGAACTCAAAAGGCTGCTTTACTAAAACTTTTTCAATAGAAAACAACCAAACTGATTTTGTTGCAGCAGCTTGGTGTGGTCGCTTTCTGCCTTTAAACAATAATCTCATGTGGGACCTGATAAAACATGGTGGCTGTATACAAGGGACCTTTCGCCACAGTAAGTTATTGCAAGAGCTTTGAGACTTACCATGAATTCATCACCAGCTTCAAACTTAGTCTCGATTTCCTTGCCGATTTCGCTCTCAGGGACACGCAGGTCCTCCCTGATATCACCGCTGTCGCTCATCAAGGTCATGAAGCCCTCGTTGATGTTAATCAGCTGGAAAGGAGACGACCAAACCGGAAATTACACAAACTCTGTCCGGTGTTGCAAACAAGTCTAGTCCTAAAAATTCAGATGGTAGCGCAAGAGTGATTATTGCCAGGTTTTACAACAAAAGTATTCTTCTTGATTATGCTTACATGAATAATAGTCTTTTTTTTGGAACATCAGTGGCATTTACATAATCCTTTTGTTCATATTGGAAGATGGAATTTCCAATGCCAATATTAGAGTTAGGGGAAATGCTCTACCAACAATATTTAAAATTAATTAAACATACATAGTATCAACTAGAAAAAATATATACCTATATTCATATTCGACGGCAAAAATGTACTGCCTGAGTACCTGGTAGTCTATCCTCTTGATGGAGGGAACATCCATGTTGTGGGTGGATGGGCACATATCTTCATGCTTCTTGTTGGTGAAGATGTCGATACCAACCATGTTAACCTATGGAAGAAATGGTTTATTACAAAGTGAGGACACATATTTCAGAGACCTGTCAGTGTTAGCTTTAAAAGACAAAACATGAAGCTTAGGAAAGCATAAAGAAATACAAATGCACCATATGCGGAAAAATTACGCCAAAATTGAATGTCTTTAGTATAGCGCGAAATATAACACGACAAGGGCCAGACCCAAAGAAGGTCAGAAGCATTTTCCATTGTTGATTTCAAAACAAAAAGCACCAATAAACAGTGTGAAGTTTTAATCCCCAATAAGCAATGGCAACTTTGAATATGTACAGCACTTATTTAAATATTACATTTAGTGTGAACTCCCAAGTCCCACAGGAGGGCAAAGTATATGCAGGGGCTCTGTGTTTATAAAAATAAAAAGATAAGGAGACTGCATTACTAAAGCCACAATTCTCACAGCTCGATCAGACTGGTCTGAAATGTGAGAGGCCCGAAGGCCCAAGCCGAGTCTCGGGTCTCTGCCAAACCCTTCTTTCAAACTGCTTGAGTTTTTTTATACCAAACTACTGCCATCATTTTTGAGGGGCGACATTACCATACTTTAAGGATCAGTTTACCTTGGCATGTCCGTGCTTGCCGGTCTTGGAGGTGGACATCTCGACAATTTTGCAGGGGCGTCCCTTCAGCACCACATACCCGTTCTTACGCAGAGCAGAGCACTGCATAGGGAAGGTGGCGGAGGCGCCAGACTCGCCAGTCGTGAAGTCAAGATCGGGATCTGACATGGTGATGGGTCAGCGGTGCTGTAAGAGATATGTACAGAAAAATCACCACACTGCCTCTCAGAAAATATTCAAACTCAGAAATATAGCAATGACAGGATTTATCCTGGAAGCATATACTAAATCTGATGTGTAAAGAGTTGAATTGTTTACATGATAGCTGACAATGATAATGAAAGGTTCACTTGTTATAATATATTAAAAATGTGAGTAAAAGCACAAATCCATAAACGCCTTCTGTAAAGGGCAATCATTGTGTCATACATTTATTTTGGGCATTCTGACAGGTTTGTTTTTGCACTAAATACTCAAACGAAAAGATGTTCCTCGTTTGAATTCGGGTAAATTATTTTGGGATAAATACAAATGAATTGCCCTGTTTCTGACTTTACTAGGGTCCCACTGGGCGGGTCAAGCGCTGCCATGTAAATAGATATCGCGAGATCTTGGCAAAAGTAGCACTCAATGTTTTACGAAGATTCAATTAAATCCACTCTAAACAAAAAAAGTCCAACTAAAAATACAGCTACACAAACACTTGGATGACAGCCCGTATCAACACGAGGCCAGGCGGCTTCGCCACTTTAAATACTCACGTTAGCACTTTTGTAAGCAGACAATACAGAACTTCACAACACATCAACATCAGCCTATCAGCTCAATGAGTCACAGTGGTTTTAAAATAATAACACTGTCTCCCAAAGGGGAATTGGGAGAGTTATTTGAGTAATCTGACATTAACAGAAGAGCTGGCTTAAAGCAGGTTAGACGGCCTGGAGTTAACAAGTGCAACAGCGCCTGATAACGTTTAAAAGCCAACTAACAATAACGTCACACACCACCATTTGCAAATATTGTTGTATATTTCGGTTTAACACTATCTACAAAACTAACAAAGCCTGGTTAGGCTAATTTGTAGCTGTCGAGGTGTATTTTTGACTGACTTGCGCTTCTGCTTCACAAATAGCAAATACCGTTTTCCGGCTGTCAGCTAATGGGATGCTAACATGCTAGCTATCCATTCAGCTGCGTCCAAATAAAAGCAAAGATTGACGCCCCGTCGGAAGCAGCGGATATGTGGACAGTTGTGTTTTAGTTCCCGACATTTTATTGAAACATAAGGTGATAAATAGCCATCTGATTCTGATGTTCCCTACTAGGAAAAAGGTAGACATTAGCGTGGACTGGAGAATGACAAGCGACTTCTACGAAGAGCGCAGCCGAAGGCCTCATGTCCCTTTGATTCAATCTGTTAACGTTAGCTGGAGCACGGACACCCACACCCCGGACTGCGACCGACAATCTCCCGGGACATCAAATAACTACATCGCCAGCTTCTCAAACAATTACATGGGTACTTCAGCGTCTCCGAACCCGTTATTCCTTCAATTAAAAAACCGTTATGCCCCCCGTGTATCCCCCCAAAGGCAGAAACACGCGCCATGCCACACTTACCTTCCAAGAAAAAGAGGACCGAAAGTGCGCAAGCGCAGCCAACTTTACTGCAGCACCCGTACCATAGAAGGCGAGGGAGAGGGGTGTATGCTTTCCGGTGGCAGCCTGGCAGAAAGGGATGCCAGGTCGAAGGAAATCCAACCTGGCAACCTACATACAGTACGGGGCATCATCTACTGTTTTTTTTTTTTTTCAAGGGTGCAAAAGGCGTGTCTTGCAAAACTAATGACAGAACCTTTTCAGTCATGGCCTTTCTTTGTAGGGATGCACAATTCATCAAAACGTAATACAAATCGTATGGGTTTTTGCAATAATAACATTATTTGTTACAGCCAACAATATGTATTGTGGTGCTGCATCGATGTCTCAGCCTACACATGTCATTCTAAATATTTAATAATCTGTGTTTGGAACAGATCAGACCATAATGACTAATATAAAGCATTTTTCAATCATAATATTGATAGTGAATCATATTGGAATTGCAAAATCACAACAGGTGTATTATCAAAGCACTGTGAGCGTAAGTGTAGCCCCACAGAACTGCAAGTACAGCTTTAACTCAAGCTACTTTATTAATATTTAATTAAGTATTTTGGTTGATGAACTCGGTTCGGCACTGAGGTCAAGCACAAATCTTTGAGCAGATTTAAAAATTGAACCAAAGCATATTTAGGTTTTTTTTCGGCCTATGCATCAGCCTAAGTAATTAATAGTGCACCCTTAACACTTTGTTAAATGTAGATTGTATGTTATTGAAAGTATAAAAAGTCCTTTAAGAGGTGAATCATCACATAGGGTAAAATATAACGTTAATATTTTTTGGAGGATTTGGTTATGAAATTAAAAAAAAGACCTGCAAACACAATTTTGCCTGGGTTCTTTGTTCAACTTCATGCTAGTAGCACATGTCTTTCTCAACAAATGTGTCGTATAAATGAATTGAAAAAGAAAGAGAGTGGAGCAGGTGTTGTTGCTGTACAAGGAGAGGACATTTATTGTAGATTTTTCAACATCACAGATGTGTGTTACCAGATTGAGGTCGTCTTTTTGACTGATACCAGTGATTCAGACAAGGTGAAAACGTACACTCACATGCTCATCTACACATACATACACACACGCACACACACACACACACACACACACACACACACAGACACACACACTCACAGGCTGACAGCCGTACATACGTTCACAGTCCTGATACGTACAAAATTGAAATACAAATACAAATAATACCACAATAAAAACATTGTATTTTTTTCTTTTTAGAAATTCTTATAGCTATGTTTTCTATTCTGTAGAAAGACAACTAAGCTTTCATTAGTGAACATTATTATTTTTTGTCTTCCTCTAAAATGATCAGTAAGATATCATCATAAACGAAAATTCTTACAGTATATATATCTTTTTATCTATGGTCTCTCACACGGACCCTGACCTTTATTCACAGGCTGATTAATGCTAACATTCTGCACATGGAAAACCTGTAACATCCTTTAAGATAAATGAACAATCAAAAGAAATATCAAGTAAAAAGTGAACATCTTTCCTCTCTCGCAGCCTGATCACGATCCCACAACCATCAGCGTTTACAGAGACAATCATCAAAGGGTAAAAAGTAGAAAATGTCCTCAAAAGTGATGCTGAGCCCGCCCTGCTGGCTCTTTATAAGCTGCTCTAAGTGTGAGCATCAACAAAAAGTATAAATTTGATGGTAAATGTATAATAATCCAGTCTGCAATCTTGATTTATCTGACTGTTTCTCATGAGATAAAAGCACAGAGGCAAAGCTAAGTTTCAAAACGTTGAATGTACAGCTCAGTGTAGAAAGTTTGTCTCTCAGCGTCCAGCTTCTGTGTATTGCCTTAAACTTACAATTTATAATAAGTGACGACAGGTAAAACATGTTTGTCACCATGCAAAATGCAAAACTTAATAAACAGTGACGAACTACGCAGAAAAAGAGTCAACTTGAGGTGTCAACCCAAACAAATCTTTTGTGTAAGTCCACTCTTGATGGACATATTTGACAGAGGTATGAAATAAAAGCAAAACTTTCTTGTTTTCTTTCTTGTGTATTCTCACCTGCTTTTGCAAAAACTGTCCTTAACATCAAAGTGAGTATTTACACAGTGTACACAGAACAGCAGGGACAGAAAAAAAGGTGGAAGAAGAAACAAAAAACTTCCAGAAGTTGGCAACTACCCTACGCCAAGTCCTTTTTGTGAGAAATGATGTGAAGTTATTGTGTTGCTGTTGCAGCAATAATACAATATCTACAACCTTCCTTCCCCTGCCAGATATACACCAGGACAAAGAAGCTGTGCATCCTCAACAACAAGTATAAAATCCCCCATTTTCCACTGCTTTTTTGTAATTCTTTTTCTTCTAAAGGGGAAGAGACAGAAGGTGTTTCAGCAGCAGCAGCACTCAAAGTGAGTGTTCACACTGTGAGCAACACCATCATAAAGTCCTTTCATTTCCTACAGACAGAGAGCAATGATCAGGGGAAAAACAGAGCTCCACTTCTCCCGGTTTTATGGATTGTGATGTGCTTTATCATAAAACATCTGACAGCGCTAAGAGAACACCCTTTGAGGTTTTGCTACAAGATGTGAGTCTAGAAAACATCCATGAAGATCAGTCATCACTTTTCATCATATACTATAAAATCTGAATTCAATATTTGGTCTTATGATGATAAAAAGGCTGATTCAGCGTACTTCCACACTTAGACGGAAAAAGCTGGAAAATAACGAGTGTTTACATCAGCATTTTTAGGTTGTTGTAAAGATTATTTGTCATATAACACAAATTAGGGAAAGGCAAATGTCTTTGAAAGGTTAGGTGATTCTAATGAAGTCTTCTATATCTGCCAAATACCTGATTCCTATCCGTTTGAAGCATGTCAGATAAATGATAGCACTCAATATTCAGGGGAGACAAAACATGTTTTTATTTGTCCGTTAATATTTTAGATGTAGAAGAGACAGTTCTTTTTAATATCGGTTTATCAATCGTAATTAATATCTTTTGTGATATATTCAACAAGTTTATTGCATTTTTTAAATATTTGGTGCAGCCCTAATGGCAGATTGAGGTTGTCTTCCAACGACTCATTCTTGCTTGTCCACAGCTCAACATTTGGTGAGAGTTTATGGATTTCTTATGGATTTTGGACAACCTTAGCCAGCCTAGTGCGGATGTACTGCAAAGTGATTTTGGTGACTTTTAAACCAGCTGCATCTGCTATTTTGAAAACAAAAATTCTTCTGTTGATGCTATCTTAGAAAGTAGGATTTGTTTCTTACTATGACCCAGCCCTGTAAAAGCTGTATGATTGAATTCAGCCCACCGGCATCTTCACCAACAAGCAGGAAATCATGCTCGCAGTGTGAACACCCTGTCAGGAATCATTAATGTGCTACACAGAGATTTTCTCCAGGAAGTCAAAGGCTACTCGGCGTGATGTCATCGTCCTTTAAAGTCTGGAATAAAAACCCTCGAGAGGAAACGTCCACAGCGAAGGCCGCTGTCAGTGTGTGGAGTGACCTGCAGCGCCACCTAGAGGTTGGATGCTGTTTTTACTGCGAGTTTACTCCAGTTGCAATTTCGTCCCTTCAGCAGCTCGTTGATTTCCTCCAGACACACATTGTACACACACACATACACACACAAACAAACACACTGTCCTCCTGATGTCGGCCGATGTTCAGAGTGAAGAAGAGGAGGCTCGTGTTGTTGAAGGTTACCAGTTCATCATGGAGCTTCTGTTGAGGGTCATGAAGAAGACTTGGCTGCTTCCTCCAGAGCGCACCGAGGCGAAGAAAACCTGCAGGGAGGAGAGGTAATAATACAGTAGATATGATGCAGCTTATTTACTTAAATATTGATTGGAAAAATAAACAACAAAACTAAAAAACATTTCTTTATGGCTGTTGACAGTGTTCCTCTGATTTATGGAGTTATACAAAGAGATTTCCAAAGTTCCTTTTGTAAAAGTCTTGAAAAATGAATCAGAACATTTGAGCAAATTAGCACCTTTATAATAACATAAGGACAATTTTAGATTTCTTGTTTTGTTCTGTTTCTATATCATATTAAACAAATACACCTTTGGGTTTTGGACTGACAAAACGACATCACCTATTTCTAATTATTTTCTGAAATTCTTAGAGAGCAGTAACTGATGAATCAAGAAAAGGTTATTGACAGATTAATTGAAAACGGAAATAATCTTGCAGTTTCAGCCCTACTTGTAAGAAAAGCAGAAAAACATTACCCGTCTTAACCACAGGACGGCTCAAAAAGCACTTCATTTTAAGTACCACCCGTTAAATGGTTCTACTTTTTTAGCCCAGACACAGAATCTCAGTATGATACGATCAAATATACCGTATATATATATAAGGTTGAGCTTGTTTTCTCTGGTAGTTGTAAATGTTTTTCGGGTCGTGCAGGTGTTTTTAGGACTCACCTTGTCGTTCCTCTCCGATAGAAACTTCAGTCGCTGAGCTCGCTTGTGCATGAAAACTCCATCGAGGTGTCCCGTCTCCACGGAGCGGATCTCAATGGCCTTCTCTCCCCAGCCCATGATCTGGTTGGAGTGGATGTAGGCTGCAAGGACACACACACGCATACACACACACGCACGCACACAAACACAAACACACAGAGGGGGATTGGACAGGAGAAGACTCAGCACCAGTCTCACATCCAAGCCAGTCACACATCCTCCGCCTCACCTCTGGGAGGAGATTATTGCAGCAGTTTCTGACCGATTTAAAACGATAGCAAGCTCTGATGTTGATATATATGAGTTATTGGAGCACCATTGACTGATGTAGGATATCTGAGATTTGCAGCATTAGTGACAAATTCAGCTTTTTTTTTTACAACTGCTCTACTATAAAACATTACAGTGGGAAGGTTTCGAGCCAAAAGAGATTAGAAACTCGGTGGAGGTGAAATGCTAATAATCTGGTCGAACGACTTAAGTGTGCGCTACAAAGTGATGGAAAAGCATCAGCAGAGAAGGTCCAGCTGGCAATGATGTGCACCTTCCTCTGTCACAGAGATAACATCCAGTGGAAGGTTTTTTTCCCCTCTTGCAATAAAGTTTTTTGCCGTTGTCGAGTGAAAACTTTACGACGATGCAGTATTTATGATTGTCCTTGAAGGGAGGAGGGGGCTGAGGCCGGACTTGGCTGTGAGAAACTCTGGTTTGACATTAAATACACACAAACATGTTAACAAGAGATGATGTCCACATACAGAGCCAACAGTCAAATATCATCATCATTCAGGATATTGTACACTGAGAAAGGCTGAATGGGAAAACACTGAAGATTTTACTCAGATCATAAAATCCAAGGTCCATCCCTGATGTGCTTGAGTTTCCTCTCCATGTGTTTTGACTGAGTGTGACTGAGTGTGTACACATAATAGATGTATTGGTTCTGCTGAATTGCAGAAATATCTTGTTTTTGGAGCTCATGCAATCAGGGATGAATGTAAGATTTTTTGGAAATATTTAATACAGAACAAGAGAACAGACCAACAACACACAATCATTTCCCCCCACATTAGAACAACACGTATTTTAAAAAGTAGTGTTTAAAGGAAAAGTGTGTGTGCTCATGCAGTAAATAGATTTCCAACACTCGACATTAAAGAGATACAATCAGTTCTTGGGTTGTTACTTTTTGGTAAACTCACCTGTAAAGCAATAACAACATTGACACCAGACCTCTGGTTTGATTTGTTTTATTATCCTGATGTGACACATAATTATTTTTTTTCTATTTGATATTGCATGAATTTATAAATGTCATACTAATGACATTTATTTATTCTTCTTCACTTATTTCGACCGTTTTTTGTGTATTTCTATCTACCTATGGTTAAGCTTTTTTGCCAATTTTGTATGCTACTGGTTGGAATATATTTAGTTGTATTTTTACAATTTACGTGAGCTTAACTTTGTTTTGTTGGGAGAGGGTCAGCTTGACCTCTCCATTTAATTGCTTAAATATCTGGATTATATGCAGTCTTATGTTAGTGCAACAACAACAAAAAACCCACATATTTTAATGTCTGAATTTTAAAATACTAAAGTACTGATATTTGTATGTGCTTCATGTATCAGCTACTGATATTTGTATGTGCTTCATGTATCAGCTACTGATATTTGTATGTGCTTCATGTATCAGCTTCTGATATTTTGTGAACATTTTATTATGAAGCAACAGAACCATCAGTTTCACATGGATGATTTTAGCTCCTACTGTTTGTTCTCATCATGTAAACAAATAAAGTTATTAAACCTCCCAAAAGCCTGTTGTATCCCTTTGATATGAAACAGGTGACACTACAATCTTCTTGTTTTAGCGGAAAGCAGAAGGCAGGAGGAGAGAGAGGAGTGTTGCTTTGAACGGAGGAGGAAGAGGAGATAGTAGAAGTGAGGGTGAAAGGATGATCCGATCATAGAGGTCAGAGGTCAGTGGGGTTGAGGGAGAAACGAGCTGATTGGTTGACGTACCGACGGATGTGGGCATCTCGCCCCACTGCAGCACCACGTCTTTGGTGATGCGTCCATAGGTGTTGACGTAGACGCCCTCGTCCTCGTAGCACAGCAGCATCTCCATGCCGTCCGTCTTGGGCAGCACCACGATGGCGTGTGGGGTCACCTGACCCTGA